ACAGATACTATTTACTAGGCCTATAATAACTAGCCCAAGGGGAATATCTTTTATGTTATTTCCCCTTTGTCTAAGTTCCCCTTAACGTACAGGTAATAATAATAATAATAATTATTATTATTATTATTTTTGGGCATTAACATGTAATTAACTTGGTCTAGCCTTGTAATCAAGAACCTGCCGATTACTATGCCTAATATTAATAACTAGCTCATTTTTACATTCATTTGGTGCTCTGCCATTTTGGCAGGTCTTATGACATCCAGTTGTCTCTTATACACATCTTAGATGTGTATAAGAAACGTCTACAAAACAACTTCTGAGAGAACGTATTTGATCAGTGATGAAGAAAAACGCGCTTTTCCTTACTCTTTGTGCTTTTCCCAGAAAGCTTTTTTAGTAGGCCTACTTCTAGGCCTAGGTAATTATGCAAAACCCAGGCCTAACTAAAAAATTGAACTTGTCATATTATGTAACTCAAGTTAAAATAACACTTTTCATTACTCGTGCAGCTCAATCAAATATTATATGTCATTTTAAACGACCCATTGGTATTAACATGGTAACATCGATGTATTTTTTAAAATTAGACAGTGACGTTCTCTCAGAAGTTATTCTATAGACGTTTATCTGTTGATGACCTTTTGACCTCCTGAATTCTGCAATGAGATTTTCGGGTCGATTTAGCCGAGACGGCCCGAGTGGAGTTTCATGTAAATGTTTCGTACGGGAAAAAAATCGCTTACCGGCGCCAAAATAATGGAGGAAAGTTCCGAGCGCGAAGTTTCTGTTTTATTACAGTTTCGTACGGTCAATCCGTTGAAGTTAGCAATTATGTTATGTTGAGAATTCAAGTACAAAAATAAATAATTCGCTAATTAATTTAGAACGACTCGAACTCCGCTGATTTTTAACGAGCACACTCCGAGTAGTAAGTCACTCCTCGGAAAAAGATCAGTCTAATACAGTACATACGCCTATTGAGGCTGACGCGCGGACTTGAAAATAGCGCATGCGCAAAACAAGTTCTATTAGGGATTATTTATTATTATGTTATTTCATACATTTTACTAAACTATCCTACGTTAAAAATGGGTCTTTCTTAGTCATATATTATAGAGGGCGCTATACAATATTATATTATGTCGTAGCCAGAGTTATGATTATTGTACATCTTGATTCTAGGCCTAGATTGAAATTATTTTTAGGGTAATTATATTGGATTTTTATGACATATGATTATAATAGTGTGATATCTAAGCCTAGTAGGGCTCGAGATCCTTCGGTTATTTGCCACCACTGTCTAGCTATGCCTTGGAGGAGGCCTAAACAGGTAGGCCTGGAAGTAGCCTAGGGCGCGCCCGTGGCCTACTTAGGCTACACCCAATGGTCAGCGTCTAGGCCTAGGCTAGTAAAGCTGATGCTTATGCTAGTGTAATGCCCTGTCCAGACAATCATTAAAATTTTATTTGACAAAAACCTGTGACAAGCCTAAATATGGTCATGATTACATCACATCATCAGTCCATAACACTTTTTTTTATAGAGTAAGAACCAAATCTTATAATATAATAACAAGATAGCGTTCTCCGCGATTTACGTGTAACAAATAGAAATAGAAGCGTCCAGTTACTAGTTGTTACTATGGAGGTTGTTCCAGAATTTGCACTGAGATTATAGATGTCAAAAGTTAAATTGTAATTGCAAGAGTGTGTGACCTACACAGCTTTATTTATTACAGAATTTGCATGCAGAAATCGTGGAGAACGCTATCTTGTTATTATAGATCTTCGGTAAGAACCAGTAAAATTTTGCCCAGGCTCAATCATCTTTTTTTTTTTTGGCCAATTTCATGCTCGAAATGTTCTTATTCTGTTTTTATTGGTTTTTGAGAAAAACAATTTCTTCTTTAAACACAAAATAAAGTTTTATCTGATTTCTGATAATGATATTTTGATTTGACGTTTCTTTCAATTCTCTTCATTATGAAAGTTACTGACATTTGCCTACAAACTTTTCTTACAAAAACATTTTTTATTTAAAAAAATTACTAATATTTATTTACCTCTGAATTTTCACAGGTCAAACCACAGTGTATGAAGTACCCCACCTGGTAAAAGTTTATGAAAAAGAAAGTCAATATGGCAGAAGAAACCACAAAGGGTATTAAAGCTAACATTGTTTTTAAAACATTAACTAAATAATGCTGGTTGCATTCATTACTAGCATGTATAATTATTCATATGCTGTGCTGTACTTATTTGGAATCTTCTATCTACTGACAAAAAATGGTGTGTTTGGTAAATAATTGTTTGACGAAAACTTATCCGAAAGGTTAATGTACTCAGAGTGAACCAGTTTTTAGGCCTAAAAATAAATTGTTTGTTTGCCCTTTAATAACCCATAATCGATATTTTGCAATGAATTTAGGCCATTTAGACCTAGAATGGTGATACCTTTACATCAGACACTTTCATGTGCAAAATGGAGGAAACAAAGAATCATTTTTTAAAATTTGTGAACAAAAAATCAAGGAGAAAAAAAAAAAAAAAATCAAGGAAAAAAAAAAAAAAAAAAAAAAATTTTAAACGCTCCTTATTTTTTCATGAGCTAGGGGTGGGCACTGAAGGGCAAATAAACAATTTTTTTTTTTAGGCCTTATTGTGTTGGGCTTTTCCCATGTCTAACTCTAGACTCTCTTCTGGTAATTCCAACCATTATATAGTTAATATAGTTTAGTCAAATTTATAAGTTTGAATGGGGTGTCACCTATAGATTAGAAGATTGCTGCATTAACATAACAAACATTTGTAGCTAATTTAGTTAAACCTGTAACTTCGATGTTGTCTACAGTCTGTATTATTATGTTTCTCTTATTTATATTTAAAATGTATATTTTCCATAGAAATGACTGACGATGTTTTTACAAACATTAAGATGGAAGTATCAAGGTGGTATGATGATCAAAATGCAATCAACATGCTGAAATTGTTGTATAGAGACCATGTGCCTAACTTGTTTAAGTTGCACAATTTTTGTAATACGATGGACTTACTGAATGAATTAATTACTTATGGCGCTCTAAGTTCTTCTGATCCAACTATCATTTATGATACCATAAAAGCAACTTGTCAGTTTGGTTTGGAAACAAAAATAAAATGTAAAATACCATCATGCCCAAATATCAGAGAAGTTGAAGTTTCTAAATTTACACCGTATAGACAGAAATTAATGAAGCTGGGAATATCATTAAGTCCAGAAGATGTAAGGAAAATCAGTGCCATATATAATACTCCAGTAAAGAAATATGCAGACAATTGGAGTTTGATTATTGATCTTGAAACGAGGATGATTCTTTGTGAAGATAAAATGGATACATTCAAGGATAAGTTGAGGGAAAATGGTATCTTTGCTGCAAACTGTCTAACAGAAGGTATTCCTTTTATATCACTGTATTCACCATACATACTGTGTGTGGGTGTGTGTGTTTTTGTGTGTGTGTGTGTTTTTGTGTGTGTGTGTGTTTTTGTGTGTGTGTGTCTGTGCGCGCGCGCGCGTGCGTGTCATAAGCAGAGAAGTGAAAATGAAATTTAAATTTTCACTTCTCTACTTATGATATCTGTGTGTGTGTCTCTCATAAGCAGAGAAGTGAAAATAAAATTTAAATTTTCACTTCTCTACTTATGATATCTGCATTACATTTGTATCTAGGCCTACCTAGTTTATTTTTTTTAATATTTTTGATGGCTTATTATTATTACTGTTATTAATATTTTTTATTATTTTTTTTTATTAATGTTTACAAAACCACAATATCTTATGGAGTTGTATACATGTGTCTATTTTTTTCTGGGTCTTTCTTTAATGTCATTTTTTATATAATGGCCCTTAAGTATGGTTGCTTGTTATTTTGTGCCGATTTTTTGCACGTGTCTCAAGATAGAAAAATCGAACTAGGCCTTTTTCAAGAGCCTTTTGATAACATCATCTCAAAAAAAGTTATATGCTCCAATTATACAGTAAGTTTGAGAAAGTAAAAATAAATGTCTCATTCTAATCTTTAAAATATAAATGATATTTTAACTAAAATTTGACCATAGTTTGAGTGGTTTAACATTTAAAGAAGATGAGAGAAAAGACCCAATACGTAGTGTAGGCCAAACTAGGCCTCTGTTTAATTCGCGATCGCACTTGATCTACCTATGGTTGAACAGGACAATAGAATGCTTAAGATGCATCAATATTTTATCAAAAAAGAATCGTAATCTTGGGAGCACATTGACATTACAGATCTTAAATGTGCTAAAATCTCACGTTTCTACTCCCCGTTCTACAGCGGTTTTATTTTAATTTTATTTCAACAATCTTTATTGAGGGTGGTCCATCCAGCCGAAGCTGATCATTAGAGACCCTCAATACACAAAGTAAAACAAAACAAAAAAGAGTACGAAACCAATTAATTTACAGTAATATACTGTAAATAACAACCTTTCAATTCAAAATTAACATAATGAATTCGAGGCATTCAGACGCCATTTTGTCTACTACTACAGAACTTTATGCTGTAGCTCTCCTGGATTCGCCACTGGAATGCAAAATATTAATTTTGAATATACAAATAGATAACATTAATTTCATTTTGGACTTAGTAGTTCTCAAACAGTTAAATACAAATATACATATATTAAATACAAACTTATAAATAAGAATATTTACAGATGAACATAGTAATCTTTACATAATAATTATTTATCTTTAATTTTTGCCAGATGCTCTACAAATTAGTTGAAAGTTGTTGTCTGATGTGCGATATTGTCATTCCAGGCCTCTGTGGGTATTTTTATTCCATCTGATGAGTATTTTTAAAAAAATAAAAAGAAACTTTTCCCACCCACCCCTTCTTATCATTTTAAAAAATGAAGGGCAAACAAACAATTTTTTTTAGGCCTAATGTTTAGGCCTAGCTAGCTGATACTTTGAGCCCAGGCAATGCCTAGAGCACATAATATATGATGCTTAGACCCAGGTGATGCTCAGTCCTTAATTTAATGTAGATGAAATATTCAAAGTAAAAACACTCAACTATTCATTTTTTACAGATGGCGAACTCAAACCAACAGCATCTAAAAGACGAAAGTTGATGTTGGAAGGCGACCGAGGTATGGTATAGTAATTTAACTGCAAATTAACCCCTATTATGGTGTAAATCTATTCTCATATTTTGTTGTTAATCAATGTACTGTACTGCTGCTCTACCAATAAAACTGCAAAACTTAATGTCAGTAATTACAATAGACAAGCGCCCTCCTTGGGCATGAATGTCACAACATGAACTCATGTTTTCACATTGAACTTAAAAAAATTATCTGAAAATCATATTGTATGAAAATCTTAAACCATTAGTACTGTAGTATCACCATTAAATCTGCTGAAATAAAGGAAATAAACAGTGGCTTTTAATTATTGATTTAAACATCTTGAACTCATTTATTGAGACAAAGAAATTTACAAATGAAAAAATTAATGTGATTTCATCTAGTGTTGTAAACAAGGATTTATTTGTTTACTGTATATTGGTTTTTACCATGTACCCGTAGCCAAAGACCATCAAACGTACGTATGATTTCAGTGGAAAAAAACAATATTATTGTTGGACAAGGATTCCATGTGGTCTTGCATCACCATAATTTTTTTGCAAAAACGTTGAGGCCAGTTCTTACCAATGTGCATACACGTGGGATACGCACTGCGCTGTTCGTTGATGATTGGTTTTTGGCAGCTGATCGCAAACGTCCAGTGCAGATGCATCCACAGCAGGTTCGGCATCATGGGTAACAACATTAATAAATCCACCGAAAATTTAACAGGACGAGAAAATGTGGAAGCCGACACTTTCAACATTGAACCTAAGATACGAATGGAGGCTACATACAATATTGTTCCAATAGCTAGATGAAATGTGGCATCTGCATGCATATTCTTTCTGCAGTACACAACAATATAGATTTCTTTTAGCCAATCAGAACATAGGAAACCACGATGACGTGAACACGTAATCGTTCGCTCTGATTAAAAAAGTCGAGTATGGATCCTTTTTGTGTGGGTGAGGATGATCAGTCCGAAGTATCTAGTAGTATACTCTGTGCAATGACAAACAGGTATTGACCGTCTAAGAGAACCTAAGATTTATGATGTAGCCTACACAAACGAGAAACAAAACATCATCATCATTTTCCCAAACTACTAGGCAAGCCTGTAGTCTAGGCTTAGCTAGTCTACTACTACTATCGTATTACGCTAGCCAGGGACTATGGCATGGAAAATCCTGGATCCGCACCTGGCATGGCCTACTAATGTGTGAGATTATCATTATCGTTTGGTGGTACTGTACATTGATGAGCATGTGATTGATCAATTTTTTATTTGGGGAGCATCGGCAGTCTCTCTGCCCTCATTCTTAAAAAATAAGGCTTCAAAACTAGTCATTGGTACTTTTTGATTTTCCCTCTTCCTCTCTGTTCTATCTATCAATACAAGGTTGTTTAATCTTCTCGTGCACCAACTGCATATTTCCACATAATCAATTATAATATTACTCTACATTCAGTAACACAACATTTTTCTAATGCTTAACTAACTCAAAAACTTATAGGGTCCCTTTTTTTTCCGCCACATACATAGCCTATTTTCTTTACCAAGGAGCTCAAAATACATGATAATATTTTTCTTAAGAGCACTTTGCAAGAAAATTCAATTACTACTACCAAGGTACTAGGCCTATATACCAATGCATATACACCACCACATAGTGAATCAAGCCAACTATATGATAGTTGATAACGGCGTAAAACAACCTACTGGTTGGCCTATAGTAACCAGTGCTGTTAATAACCTATACGCTATTGATAGTAACTCAATGCTTTTTTTTAATAACCCGTCATATAAATAGTAAGCTAGGGCACTTAATTAATAACCCACCCTATGAATTGTAACCCAGTGCTCTCTTAATTGCCCACCCTACTATTTAAACATGCAAAAGCTTTCATTTCACCCTTCTGCAAAACGAAAGTAGCAGCGAGGTTAGGCTTCTGATTAATTCTTCATGAGTATGTCGGACGTCATCGTGGGCTTCCTATGTTCTAGTTGGCTAAAAGAAATCTATGTTGCTTATGAGTACTGCAGAAAAAAAGTTTGTGGCCCACATACAGTGGATCGGTCTTGCAACACTCAGCAATATGCAATTTTGCCTCGTTAAAACAGCAGGTTTGCAGATCTGAGGGAGTCGACACACTAGCGCAGCAGAATTGGGGTACAGAAAACAATAAACATTAACCACACCACTGTGGTCAGTAAACATATGGTTTCAAACACTAAAACAACTATAAATTGCAAAACCGCTAGTTCTAACCAAATCGCAGCACACAATGTGTTTAACAGGACCAATACCAGAGCTGGTAAACATCCTGAAATGTCAACTTAAATATATACAAAGATATTGAATGATTTTTTGGAAAAAATATATAAGCTCATGACCACCCATCGTATTACTCTACAGTAATTCTCTTTTAAAAAATGTCTCAAGACAATAATAACTCCCTACAAAAATTTTAAAGCAAGGTACCACCTCATTGATAGACATGAAAACCAAAGCTCCAAACAATTCATTCTTTTTTCTTTGTTCTTATTATTAGAATGAGTTGCCCCTTATCGTACATAAATCACCCTCACAAAAACGTTTAAATGAATAATTGAAATTTTTTGCAAAGGTTAAAAGGTTCTTAAAAAACTTATTCAGTGAGTGTCCAGAGCTGATACAGAATGAGTATCTGAATGTTGACTTTGATTGATTCTGGGTTGCTCATATATTATAGTAATTACTTTATAGTATGTTGATGTTTCAGTGTTGTCGAATGTGAAGCATTTTGTAAAAAGCGTCATATAATAGAAATATAAAAAAACATAATATATAAGTCAATTATAGAATTTATATTTGGCATGGAGAATCCATGCCAAATGAATGAAGATATTTTAATGACATAAAAATATTCTGCTGTTGGTCTAACCTGTTTATGAGACAAAGTGTTTATATAACATTGAATTCCCTGTAAAACACATGCTGCTAACATACTACAAAAATTTTATTAGAACAGTACGTTGTTGCATGTACAAAGTATTGTCATAGAGAATATATCTTTGTTTTTGTAACCTACCGTACCATTCTCTTGGCAATGTGGTATTTGCATCATTTCGCTTGCAGCCTATTAAGGATTATTAATATTTTTCTCTTCTTATCTAGATACTGTTATCAAAAATTATCTACTCAAAAGACAAAAAAATTTGTGCTGCCGTGTCAACCGGTTCACACCAGCTACTTTACGTACATTATACCAAGTAGATATTGCCAATATGTTTACTGATCTGGAGCTACTGAAAGAAAATAAGGAAGAAGGCAAGCTAGTAACATTACAGGAGCTTTTAGATGTTATCAAATCCACACCAGCATGTAGAACTCTCATAGAAGGCGAAGGTGGTATTGGCAAATCAACTCTTCTCAGGTACTTAGCATACAACTGGGCAAATGAATCAGATAAAACATTTGAAGGTAAAATTGTGTTTCTGATAAATG